ACTGCTCACTTTGTGTGGAGAGAGAAAGGGGCAGGGGAAACAGAGGGAGTGAGAGAGAAGAGAGAACATGCAACAGGTGCTGGGGACAATATCTACCCTTCAATGGTACATCACTCCACCCTGTGCACTTAACTTTGTTCAACCAAGTCCCACATCCTAGAATTTCCACTACCTCCCAAAAGTGCTGTTAGCTGGAGATCAAGCCTTTAACATATGAGCTTTTGGAGGATATTTAATATCCAAACCATAACACTCTAGAACTGTGTAGAACAAGTCCTTCATACTGAAATTTTCTCTTGAAACTTGTTTATCACTCTCATCTAACTGTTGATAACAACCTCAATCTGTTTTTCTTTTTTAAGAATGATATATGAAAATAGTCAGATAACATACAATTCTCAAACCTATCCTCACTTTAAGTCACCTGGGATAGCTTTAAATAGCCCCAGACCAGGATCACACATTAAACCCTTCAATCTGATTCACCCAAAGAGCAATCGGGTACCAATCCTGTCTGTGAAACTCACCAGGGGATTTCAATGAGCAGCTAAGAGAAGAAGCAGTGGCTCAGAGCAGAGGGTTTCAGTATTAGATGTGAATCAAAACCAGCCAAAAATTGAAGCAAACTCTGGAGCCAGGAAATATCCTAGTCTGCTGTGTAGAGAATTTTGTGAAAACCACCAGCCAATACCAATGAAGATGTATTGCAGATATATAACTCAGATAAATCCTAGAGGAAGGTGTCCATAGCAGCTCAGAGATGGGAATGTGAGAGGCAAAGATTATGTAACTCCTGTCCAATTCTCTTCTCTCCATCTCCTCAGAGTGCTGGGAGGATGCTTTCCTCACCAAGGTGTTGATGTACCACTTAGTACAGATAGGTATAAGAATGCTAGGTGTTCTGATTAGTAACCAACCTTGAGTCCTGCATCTTCTGAATTTTTACCTAGTTCCATCTAAAGACAATTTATGTGTCAGATGACATCCTTTGAGTAGAAGTCTGGTGCCTCTAAGAAATATCCCTGTACTGCATTTCAGAGAATATTCTTCTTACACAAACTTTTCTGAAGGACATTTAGTCATACAATTATTCACTAAAGAATAAATAATGTCTAAATATTCTGGAATCTCAAATTTAATACCTTTATTTTTATCACATTTTCTTTAGGGTAAATGCTTTATTGTCACTTGAATGAAAAAAAAAATTTCCCTTTGCTAAGGTAGTGAAGGTAGTCTGCCACATTAAATAACATTTTGGAAGAGATAAATACAATTCCATTTTTTTCCACATGAGTAACCAATTGCTCTGAAATAATTCCTTCAAAATTTGTTTTTTCCCCTAAATCTCTTAATGTTACCAGTGTTATATATCAACAATTTATATTACATATAGTGCTAGTTTGTATGTATGCATGTGTTACCTCTATCTGTTTTTCACACAGTCACACATGCATAATGTCAACATGTGTGTTGTTTGGTTTGTGTCTTTCTACTCTAAGATCTATTTGTCTATATCTATATCAACACATACTCTCTGTTTATGATAACTACAATGTAAGTCTTGATATCTCCTAAGAGAATACAGTTCTTATTATTCTTGATTAAATGTGCCTTGGCTAATCTTCATGTATATTTCCATATAAGGTTTAGAATCAGCTAACCAAATGCTTCAAAATGCCTACTGACTAGTTGCTTGAGATTTATTAGAATTCTTGGAACATTTTCAGAAATGAATGCCATTGTAATATTGAACCACAAGCCAGATTCTTGGCAATTCTCTTCAGTTAATTAATTATCTTCTCTACTGAATAAGGTTGTTAAAATGTATCATTTGGTATTTGGAGGAAAATTTGTAGGTTCCATTCTAAAAGTGTAAAAAGTGTATTTTTACTATGCCAATTATTTTTTGTTAAATTCACACTCTGTTTGCTTCTGGAATATAAAACACTGAAATAAACATATTTATCTAGCAACGCAGGAAGCTGTTATTTTTTTCTAATTGTTTCTTAGTCGTTTCCAGATCTTTTATTTTATTTATTTATATGTGGTGCTGAGAATCGAACCCAGTTCCTTACACATGCCAGGCAGGTGCGCTACCACTGATCCATTGTCCCAGCCCAAAACTGTTATTAATTCCAAAGATTTGTAATGATTGGGACTTTATGAATTCAACGTATCATAATTTGCAATTTATAAAAATTCTATATCTCTCTTCAAACCCTTCTATATTTATTTACTTTCTCCCTGGATCTCATTGAGGAGGTCTTCGATTATAATGCTTAATAAGAGTAGCTGAAAAATAACACCTTAATGTACATTTTGGTATTCAGATTTTCGGATCATGTATGTTAAAGTAGAGCTGTAACCCACAGGAGAACTGGCTGACTGATTCTAAAGGGACAGCCTTTGGGGCCCATTTCAACACAAGGGATCCCTGGTGTCCCACATATGCCCTTTGCAGCTTTGCCCTCAAGCCCTGAGAGGCTCCCAGGCACTGTCCCAGCCAGCAGACACACCCAGGACAAAAGCACAGTGTACTTAACTTCTTATTCTGGATTCTGCCTCTTATTCCAGGCCTAGTAACCTTCAGTGTTTTCTCCACCTGTCTGCCCTTTAGCCTTATTTTTCAAGTGTGTACTTTTCCCCTCAGTTTTCCAGTTGTATTCCATGGGAGGGATGGTCCAATTTAATTGGCCATTGTGGGAAACCAATGAACAGAGTACAATTTTATATGTTAGCATCAAAAATCAAGGAAGAAAACCATAAGCACCAATAATGGCCATTTAAGCAAGTGTAACTTGGATGTAATGAAAACAAAATGCTCCATAGCATCTCTACATGCCATAATTAAAATGCATATCAATAAATGATGACTTGAAAATTGTACATTTAGCTTGTGACTATGATCCTGATTGACAAACATGAGAGTAAACAGAACATATTTGAACATTAAATTGAAAAACACATGTAAAATAGCATCTGGAAGTTGGAATAGTGAGTGGCAGTGTGAGGTGGGCATGTGCCAAGGGTCCAGGGGCAGCAGCAGTGGCCTATGTTACACAAGGGCATGAAGACTGTGTGGGCAGTGGGTGTCCGACATTCTGGAGAGACCCTTGCATATTGAAACTACAACACCCAAATGACAATCTTGCTAAAAACAGGAGGAAGTAATCTGATGACAGCAGGGTTTACCAGCCACATCACTGTACAATGTAAACCAGACAAGAGAGCTCTGGATTTATGCATGCCGTTCACAGTAGGCTATAAAAGAGAAAAAGGTCTCCCTTGGAGGCTGTAGTTGAATTGTTGTGCCCTTGCCATCTTCAAATTCTTGCTAAGCAATCTCTGAGAAAAGGAAATTATGCCTGTTCAGGATGGCCCATGGGAATTCCTCCTGGAAAGCTCATCTCTGCCAGGCTATAGAGCAGATGACTTGCAAAGGATTGGCAGCAACACCTCAGTTGTTATGAAGAACACTGCCAAATTCCTCAGAATTTGAAGCCAGCACATTCATTCAACATCATCTGCGAAATGCCACAGACTCTAGAGATGAAAAATTGTGTTCTATATGTGTAATAAGAATTATAATGCATTCTGCTGACATGTATTTAAAAAATAAAATCAATTAAAAATATTTTTTTTAAAATGCCACAGTCTCTGGCTCTCATCACTGTCTATGTTAAACATATGTTGAACTCTCTGTCAAACATGGAGACAAACATGTTATTTTTGTTGACCCTTTCACATGGTCCCCTCCCGGAACATGAACACAAGCCAGATATATTTCATATTTAAAAGTTTCACATTTAAAAATATTTAAACATTTATAATGTAAAATGATATAGACAAGAGGTAAGACAGAGAGTCAGAGAGGGTTTGAAGTTCTCTCAACACTGAAGGAGAGTATTTTAGGTTCTTGGGAGGAGGCAGAATAAGGACACTTACAAAAAATATCATTTATTAAAATACCATAATTATATGTAATGTGCTAAAATACAGTAAAATAATAAGAATACTAGTACAGAACAGCTGCACTAGTTAGCAAATATATGTTTCCACATTGTAGAGATGAGGAAACAAAGGCACCAAGACATAAAGTGCTTGTCACAGCAGGGCGCCCAGTTCAAGCTCCCCCAGAAGCCCCAGGAGCTCTCAGCAAAGGTTGACACCCCAGCTGTGTGGATCCAGTGTAGTCACTTGGTGCCCTCTGCTGCTGATCCAGGTTATATAGGCTCAGGGGCTCTAGGGAAAAAGAGGAACCAGTCAGTGTTCAATTTGTTGCAGAATATTGCGGTTTACTCCCTTGGGATTTCTCTCTCCTCAGTTCCTCAAAAACCAAATTTGGCCCCTCTCTGAGGGAAGTAAATACCTGACTTTTTTTTCCCCCTCTCATCCCATTTTCCTGCCCTTATCAGGCTCCTCTGTTTCTATCAGCAGTGTCATCTGTCTCTGTTTCCACCACAGAAGGGAGTGAAAGGGCTGCAGGATTCAGGATCAAGATCTGGAAGTGAAATCCAATGTCCCCTCCTCCAAACATAAATCATTCCCTACAGAGTGGGGGCCTCCAAGAGAAGGTATCTCCTGCTCCTGCCCGGATGGGCACAGGACTCACAAAGAGCCCTTCTCCCGCTTAGTTCACAAGCCTCCTCCCCTGCAGAGGTAGGTGCTCACCCAGCAGGGCCTGCCCCACTTGCAGCTTAGCATCCTTACCTCCCAGCCCTGAGCCAGCAGCTCCTAACTGGACAGTCCACCAGGAAGCCCAAGGGCACCAGCAGGCCTAGCTGGAAAAGCATGCCTGCCACATGATCTGCTGCTCCCCTGACCTGTAAAAGCCCATGCAGAGGATACTCAGAATCACTGACCCTCTGCACCTGCCCAAGCTCTCAATCTGCACTTTTGCTTCCCCTACCTGCGTGGTTCACCTAGTGCTCGGAACCCAGCTCTTCCCCAAGGGCTTCTTTTTCCTGAGGTTGCCCTGGACTCCCTACCTCCATACCTAGCATGGGCTTCTGTAGGCGACAATCCTCATAGTCCTCAGAGGTCTTCTTTCCAAAGAAAACTAGGGTTTTCCTGAGATTCTGCAGTGTGAACTGTAGGCCCATCTATCATCTGTCCCATTGCATTGTCATGGTCACAATCCAGATCTCCCACAGGGGACACTCCTTTAGAGGGATCTCTAAGGGTGTCAATTAGTGCACATTAGTACGTGAGTGCTGGAGAACTGCTTATTCACATGATACAGTTGAAACTGGAAACATCCTTACTGAGATTCAACATTCAAAGTAGAAATTTGCAAAAATAAGCAACAGGCCTTTCCCACTCTTTTCCTGGGCACTGCCCTAGTGACATTCTAGGCAACCATTTCTGACCACACGAAAGTAGAACTAGCATTGCCCTTGTTCCTCCTCTTGGAAGGCCATAGATGGGAGAGGCAGAGACCACAAAGCTGCCTACCCTACTTGTAGAGTCACCTGAATGGGCCCCTGCTAGGGGACTGTGTGCCCTAGCCTGTGGGGACCAACACCCCTTGGGGCTACAGTGGAAAATTCCAGACATAAGAGAAAAACAGTGACCACAGCTGCCCTATATTAGGTTGGTCTCTCTCCCCAGATGGCCAAGGACATAAGCCATTTTCCTGTTCATGTCATCAGCAAGGCCACTACAGGAGGAAGAGCTGAATAGTGGGGACAGGATGGTGACTGGCATGGCCAAGTGACCCAGAGGAGATACTCAGAATACAGCTCCTAGGAGGGCCTGCTCTACACAGGCTTCCCAGGGGCTGCATTGACAGGGCTCTGGCCCTATGGATCTTTTTCCTGGTTTGCTCCTGATAGCCAGAGACACTGGGGGAGAGTGAGGGGAGGGATCAGTGGCATCACCATTCATGAAATTCCTCTCCAGTTTCTAAGCATCCAAAGTTCACAACTCATTCATTCTGTGTCCCCCTGAGGGCAAGATAATCTAGCTAGCACCAATCAGCCCTCCATTCCCAACACAGTCCTCTGGTCAACCCAGGAAAGCCTGAGAGACAGATGAGGACAGCAGAAGCCACAGCCCCACTGCTGCTCACTCCTCACCCTGTAGCCACAGAGGCTGTATCTGGACCTTCAGAAATGTTGACAGCCCTGGCTTTTGGAAAGACTAAGGGGTGTGGCTGGAGACAGAACTCCATCCTCTTTTCCAGAAAGCTGGTCACCTCCACTGCTGTCTGTGCAGCGGGAGGCACAAGAGACTCTACATTCCAAATAGGCCCTGCAATCGTCAGCCAGTGAACGCTTTTCTGACTTGAACCTTCTGAGGTACATTTTGTCTTCCTTTTCTTGCAGGAGCAGACACAAACAATAATCATAATCATAGCAACAGCAGCAGCAGCCACACCCAGGAAGGCAGTCCATTGGTTCGGAAGCAGCAGTGCAGTCCCTGAAAGCAGGATTGTTACACTCTGGGTACTGAGCCTCAAACCTTCTCTCCTCTTACCACCCTGGTCACTGACTTACCTGGTTGGGAACCACTTCTGGGATTCCCAGGCTTACCACAGGACACAAGGCCAGTGCTGTTGTTCCCACTGTGTCCCACATGGCAGCTGAACCCCTGCTCCTGTCCTTGGGGAATCCTGGTAGACACCCAGGTCTGGTAGGTCCCATTCTCATAGGAAAAGATACCACCAGTCTGCTGGGCATCCTGGCTCAGGGGTTCCCCATCCTGAAGCCAGGTCACAGAGATATTCTTGGGATAGAAGCCAAAAGCCCAACATGTCACATTGATGGTGTCCTCCAGGGCCTCAGCACAGGTCACATTCACTGCTGGGGACACTGGAGGGAAATAAAGGCAAAAATAGTCAGGCATGTGACCAAGCCTCACTCTCCTTCTCCACTCTTCTGACTCTGGCCTAAGACCTCATTGAAGTGAGGTCCACTTCAAGTCTGATTTCAACCTGGAGCCTGAGTCCTCTGACTGGCAGGAGGATGGTCACTGGGCTTGTGGCCTCACATTCTCACTTCAACGTGTTATGTTAAATAGGGGGTGTTATAGGAATTCTTGTTTGTGAGGTGATGAGGGGTATTTTGGGGGTTCTAGGGTTGTGGGGCCAGGTGGGAGCTCTCTATGATAGCAGGCAGGCAGGGAGGTGAGGGCTCACTAGTGTCTGGGCACATACACCCTCCTGTCTCTATCTAGTGGTGTGACAGGACAGGCAAATCACAACATGATAAACTCACACAAGGTCCTCTGGGCAGAGGCTCCAGGGGAGTAGGAGGAGCCCTTCCAGAAGACTAGGTATGTCCTGAGTCTTCCACAAAGCTCTCCCTGCACGTGGGCCCAGTAATCCTTGCTTTGCATGCCATCTGCATCCCAGGAATTCTTGACTTCCATAGCCAAGTTCTGAGCTGAGGATGGCTCCACTGTCCAGCTGCGTGTCTCTGGATGATAGGAGAGGAAGGGCTTCCCATCGTAGTAGAAATTCCAAAAGGCCCTGGTGCGGTTGTCCTTGTGAATCTTGCAGCCCCAAGTCTCCTGGAGGAAATGAGACCCTGCCCCCACCCACCAGTCACTTCTCCATCCCCTGGGCCCTCTGCCTCCCTGCCCACCAAGTGAAAAATACTAGCCCACAGGGGACTCCAACCTGGCTCTCCTCCAAGTCCCCTGTGCAGGTCTATATAAAGCCCATTTCTTGCCCTCCCCAGTCAATTGCAATGAGAAGACACAGGTCCTGGAGAAAGCCTCACATCACACTTGCCCCTGCCCACACTCACCTCCTTTCTGTTCTTGCCAGGCATTGATATCTGCCAGGGTTGCTTTTAGATTCTTGCTGTGCTCTGCCAACTCCTGGATCTCTGTGTCCCAGCTTTCACTTCCCAAAGGTTTTTCTGACCATGGCCCCTGGGGCTTTACATTTTCTTTTTTGTCACTATCAAAGTGAAGGAAGAGCTGATGGTCCCAATAACCATTGGCAAAGGACCTTGATTGCACTGATCCACCTTGGGACCTCACTGTGAGGTTATAGTGAAGACTGTGGGTCCCTGTGGAAGAGGAAGCAACAGATGACACCTCTTCCAGGAAACAAGTGCTCACCAATGCTCACCACAAAGGCTCTGCTGTCCTGAGCACCTGAGGAGGCAGCAAACATACACAAAGGGACAGAAGAAAGTTTCCCAATGCAATGAAGACAGGAAAGTGGAGAGGAAGGAGAGGGGAAGCGAGGAATGGACAAAGGGGAAATGGAGAGGGGCAGGCAAGTTGGCCAGGGCCCAACACATAGGCATGGGTTCTTAAGGGTACAGGTGGTTGTTCAAGGGGAGAGGTTGGCCTACAGAGGCAAGGGAGGTGTGGGAGGGGCAGAGGTGCATGGCAGGGCTTGTCAGAGTGCAGAGAGGGCACAGGAAGGGCAGAGGGTGGGTGGACCTATGGTCACTGAAGTGGAGCCCAGGGAGGGCAGGTCCCCAGAGGGTGTGTGTGTGCTGTCTATGTGCAGACTTCTCATGGATAAGGTGAGGCAGACAGGGGGTCAAAGTAAGTGTGAGGGTTGTGGCCCCAAAGTGTTGAGTGGGGTTGTACCCTAAAGGGAAGTGAAGCAGTGGGCTTGGTCCAAAGTAAATGATCATCATCTGGAAGCCTCAGGTGGGAGACTTAAATTGTCCTAGTAGCATCCCCTGGGAAAAAGCAGGTAGCAGTGTTTCCAAAGACCTGATGTAGCTTTTCTTTCTTTCTTTCTTTCTTTATTTATTTATTTTATTTGTTCTAATTAGTTATATGTGACAGTAGAATGCATTTTGTCCCATCATACATAGTTGGAGTATATATAGCTTCTCATTGCTTTGGTTGTATATGATGTAGAGTTATACCGGTCGTGTAATCATATATGCACATGGGTAATAATGTCCGATTCATTCTACTATCATTCTTACTCCATACCCCCTCCTCTCCTTTCACTTCCCTCTGTCTAATCCAAAGTAACTCTATTTTTTCCATAGCCCCCGACAAACACAATGTATCTTTCCAATAGATATGCTAGAAAATTTGGATTTTCACAAACAATGAAGTTGGATCCTTTAGTTACTCATGTTTAGAAATTAACTCAAGTCTGGGGATGTAGCTCAATGATAGAGTTCTTGCCTAGCTTCTGCAAATGCCTGGATTCAATACTCAGAGTGTGTATTGAATCCAGGCATTTGCAGAAACTCAAAGTGAAAAAAATGCAGACTATAAAAGCAAACATTCTTAAAAGAAAACACACTGACTGGTACATATTGTGATATGTGCCTGTAAGCCCAGATACTCAGAAAACTGAGGCAGATGAGTGGAAGTTAAAAGCCAACCTGGACAACTTAGCAGAACCCTTTTTCAAAATAAAAATTTACTGGGAGTAGCTCAGTGGGGACCACATACTAGAATGTGAGAGAACATGGATTCAACTCATAGTACAAAAATAAAACAAATAAAAAGTATATATAATATATGACAATGTATTGGCAGTAATCTTCAGAAAAAAGGATTGAACCACATTTTCCATAGGATGCCAAAAGCACACAGTAGAGAAAAAAAATTGATAAATTGGACTCATCAAAATTAAAAACATCTATACACCAAAGGTCACCCACAGAAAAGGTAATGTGTGAAATGGGAGAAAATATCTGCAAGTCACATATCTAATAAGAGATGAATATTAAAATATATCAATATATCTTGGGCTGGGGTTAGCTCAGCTATAGAACACCTGCCTAGCATGTGCAAGGGCCTAAGATTGATCCCAGCTCCATAAAACAAGCAAACAAAAAAGAATCTCAAAAACTCAAAAATAAGAAAAATGTTGAATTTATTCAGAATTGGGCAAAGTATCACTACAGAAAGTTGTCTGATAGATATACAAATAGCCAATAAGCACACAAAGAGACACTCAACATCAGCAGTCATTAGGGAAATGAAAATAAAAGCACAGTGACATTCTACTTTGTACCCATGAGGATGACTACTGTTTAGAAAAAAGAATGCAGAATGAACAAGTTCATAACTACAGAGAAAACTGCAGCATGGTGCATTGCTTGCCTATATATACAATGGAGCAACTGCAATGAAAATGGTATGGTAGTTCCTCCAAATATGGAAAAGATACTTTCTATATAATCCAGTAATTGTATTTCTGGACATAAACACAAAATTTGTGAAGACAGGGAAATCCAGAGGTATGTGTACACCCACATTCATAGCAGCATTGTTCCTCAAATCCAAAAGGTACAAATAACCAGAGTATTTATCAACTGATGAAAACCTAATCACAATATGGCTTATATGTGAAATGAATATTATTTAGCATTGAAAAGGAAGGACATTCTGACAATTGCTACACTATGGATGATCTTGAGGACAAGAGCTAAGTGGAAAAGCCAGTCATGAAAGGACAAATTCTATATGATTGCACTTGTATGGAATCTAGGGAGTTAAATTCATAGAGACAGAATGTAGAATGCTGGCAGAAAGATGACAAGGACTAGGGTAGGAGGATGGATGCTTAGTGTTTAATGGGTACAGAGTTTCAGTTTCCTCAAAAATGTGAACACACTTAATGGCACTGAATTGTACACTCAAAATGGTTAAAATAGGAAGCTGTACATTATGTCTATTTTACCACAATTAAACACCAAACAGAAACCAGGGCAGTGTACTACAGATTAATGCAGAATCAGAGAGAAGAAGGAAGTAGAGGCCTGGGAAGAGAGGATCAAGGCAGGTGGACAAGTTGCACCACCTGGGGGAGGCCCTTCAGAGTGGGAGGGGGTGTGATAGAAAGAGTTGATGTGAAGATAAAAGAGCCAAACAATTAAAAGAAAAAGAGAAAAGACTGAAATTAATAAAATTAGAAATAAAAAAGGAAATCACTACAGATATCCCAGAAATCCAGAGAATTATTAGTGACAGTTTTGAAAACCTATATACCAATACTTGGAAAACCTAGAAGAAATGGATATATTTCTAGATACATATGACCTTCCAAAATCAAATCAATAAGACAGAGAAAACTTATACAGACTAATAAATTGAAATGAGATAGAAGCAGTAATAAAAGGAATCTGCTATGCTTTAAATATGAAGAGTCCCTAAAGCTCATGTATGAGACAATGCAAGGATTTCTAGAGGTGAAGTGATTAGAGAGGCATGGCCTAAGCAGTGGATTAATCCAGAGGTAACTTTAGGTGGGTAGGGTTGGCTACCTTGTTTAAGTCACTGCAGATGTGCCTTAGGGCTTATATTGTATAAATGAAGCTCTCTCTCTCTGCTTCTTGATCGCTATGTCCTGAGCTGCTATTCTACTCCATGCCATTCCACCATGATGTTCTGCCTCACTTAAGGCCCAACATAGGTAGGCCCTAAAATCATGAGCACCAAATAAACTTTTCCTCCTCTAAAACTGTTCTTGTCAGAACTTTTGGTCACAGTAACAAAAAGGCTGACTAAAAGACCATTCAACAGAGGAAACCCCAGGAACACAATGATTCTCTGCTGAATTCTACCAGAAGTTTAAAGGAGAACTCATGCCAATGCCCTTCAAATTATTTAAAAAATCGTATGCGGAAAAAAAAAACACTTCAAATTCATTCTATGAAGACAGTATCACCATCAGACCAAAGCCAGTATCACAACAGATCAATATCTCTGATGAACTTAGATAAAAAAATTCTTAATAAAATATTAGTAAACTTTATTCAACAACATATTAAGATGATTATGCATCATGACTAAGAAGAATTTATCCCAGTGATGCAGTGATAGTTTAATGTTCACAAAGCAATACATGTAATATACCACATGAATTGAATTAAGGAGAAAAAATCATACTCATCATAATAGATGCAGAGAAAGCCTTCAACAAAATTTGGCATTCATTCATGATAAAGACACCAAGGAAACTAGGCATAGAAGGAACTTACCTCATCATAAAATCTATATTCAACAAAGCCAAAGCCAACATCATAGTGAATGGGAAAAAACTGAAAACATTTCCATGAAAATTTAGAACAAGAAAAGGATGTCTACACTCCTCACTCTTATTCAATATACTACTAGAAATTCTAGACAGAGCAAATAGGCAAGAGAAGGACATCAATGGGATAAAAATAGAAAAAGAAGTTGAATAATCAATGATTGTAAATTTAACAATTCTATACTTAGAAGATCCAATACTCCAATAATAAATAACCTGAGAAAGAAATCAGAAAATCAGCACCATTCATGATAACCTTGAAAAAGAAAATACCTTGCAGTAAATCAAACCAAGGAGGTAAAAGACCTCTACAATGTAAATCATAGAACATTGAAGATAGAAACTGAAGAAGACACAAGAAGATGGAGAGACCTCCCACGTTCAGAGATTAGCAGAATGAATATTGCTAAAATGAACATAAAACCAAAAGTAATACACAGATTCAATGTAATCCCCATCAAAATACCCCAATGAGATTTTTTTTCACAGAACTACATAAAATAGTTCTAAAGTGCCTTTGGAAGAATGAAAGACCCAGAATACCCAAAGCAATTCCAAGCCTAAAAATCAATGTTGGAAGGATCACAAGACCTGACTTCAAACTATACTACAGAGCAATAGTAACAAAAAGTGCAATAGTAACAAAATAGTAACAATAGTAACAAAAAGTTATATATATATATATATATATAGAGAGAGAGAGAGAGAGAGAATATATATCAAGAGAACATATAT